TATTTCTGATTTTGTTTTAAAGTATATTTCACAATCCTACGAAAACTCTAAAATAGGCCTTGGAACGGCATGTATGCATAATTAAAATTCTATTCTAAATGCGATTCTGTGCTGAAACTATACCGTTGGCGCCAATAACACATTGATATGCCATACGTTGGATTCAATACTTTTGCCTCGTGCAGCGTTACTTATGCACGGCATTGTTTTTGCCTTTTCCAGCGCTGCCGTGTTAACTTTGTAAATGCCAGAGCGATTATTTTTGCAAACTAAATAATTGAAGCATTTGAAATTCAACGCAAATTAGCAAATTTTACACGTTAACCATGCGCTCAAAAGTCACGTTCGTCGACAGTCATTCGCTTTTACGCCGGAGATTAACCGCCGACAATCGACAAGCGTCGAAATGCCAACAATTTCCGATTCGGGGTTTTCTTATTACTTTTTTTTTGCTTAAGTTATGTTATTATTGTTGTTTTCACTCTTGCAATTTGCTGCTGTTTTTGTGGTTATTTTGTTGTCGAAATTGTAGCTGCTGTCTTTTAGCAGCTTATTTCACATTTAACGAGAAAAATAATGCGAGGTAACACATGAAAACAAAACAGCAACAGCAACAAACAACTGAATACGAAGACAAGCTGAGCCGAGAAATGACCGCCAGCGGGGCAATAGCATTTAGGAAAAGAAGTCAAAAAAGATATATAAAATACGTAAACGACAGCAAAAGCTGCACGTTTAAGAAATCACATGGAAGCTTAGAGGGGCAAACCCCATGCGCGCTCGCATGTCGATTCGTTTGGTTGGTAGCGCTTTCAGCAAGCGCCTGCAGGTAGCTAATGGCGTGACATGCTGGCCATTGCTGGACCGTTGTTTTGTTTTATTTTTACATTTTCTAACTTTTTTCAACTAAGTCTAGATGCCAACTAAAAACCTGTTATTGTGCTACTTCTATTGTACAAACTCCGCTATTTACTTATTTTGCAGATTTTTTCTGTCTCTCCGTGATTTTTCATATTTTTGCATCAAAATTCTTTATAAATAAAATAAATAAATAAATTGTTGCTACAGAGTATAATAGTTTGGTTCTTGTTTGTATACTTTAAACTAATCGTGATGTATATGGAGCTATATATTTATAAATGATCAAAAATAATGAGACGACTTGAAATCTGGGTAACTGCCTCTTTGTCCGTCCGTCCGGCCGTGCAAGCATTAACTTGACTAAAAATTATATGTATTATATCTGGATGAAACTAAGTATGTGCGTTCCTTAGAATAAAAACAACTGCCACGCCCACAACACGCCATTAACCGAAAACCTATAAAGCGCCATAACTAGACATAACTATAAATTAAGATATAAAACTGTATTTTTACAAAGGGGGTAGCAGCAGCAAGGGGCACCCGTAAACAAAATTTTTTGAAAAAATGCCCTCTAATAAGTTCACTGAAGCTATGAAGCTATGAAGAATAACAAAAATTCGACTAGCATAAATATTATAAGAACTTCTACCGACAGTGTGAAAATGGAAGAAATCCGATGGTAACCCCGTTCAATTTTCATATAACGGTGCTGTTAAAAACTACTAAAAGCATGATAAGTCAGGAACTATGCCAGAGACATTAAAATTTAGCCTCGAAAGGGTATGATAGGGCTTTAATGAACCCGAAGTCCAAATTTGGGCGATGGGTGTGGCACCGCCCACTTTTAGCTCAAAACATGTACATATCTCGCGACCAAATCGATCTCTGAAATGTTTAACACGTTGAAGACGGCGTGCTGCACCGTTAGGTCACGCATTAAGGTAAAAGCTACGCCGTCCTCAACGTATAAAGTTAGTGCGAAAACGAGCGAAATCGGACTGCAGCCACGCCTACTTCCCATATAACATAATTTTATATTCCATCTGACTTTCCTGTGTACAAATCAAGAAGCAGTTAATAAAATGTGATGAAAATTTGCACGAATAATGCCTTGAGAGTATGACCAAAAATTGTTAAGATCCCAAAACAAAAAAAAATGTTCAAGTCCGAATATATTGGTACCAAATATTTAGACTCCAGTACACATAGTTAACTTTTTACTGCAAATATTGGTAAGTGTGTCAGATTTATATTTGAAATTCAGAGAGAATCCTTTCCTGATAGCAGTATGTCTGTGTGCTACAAATGGCCTGAATCGGGTCAATTCTTCCCTTAGCCCCTATATACGTAATATAAAGATTTTCGTACTTTAAACGGCCAATATGTGAGTTATATATTATATTATAATTATTATTATTCTCATTACTATTTTTAATTTTTTATAATTTTATTAAATTAACAATGAACAATTTGTCAATTCAAATAGTATTATTTTTTTAATACTTATCTTTTTGTTACTATTATATTATCATATTTGTTTATAGTTACATTACCTTCGATCTAATTATTTATTTAAATACCATTACTTTTTTTTAAATATTTTGATTTTTATATACATATGTACATATATATTATACATATATGCATTTTAATTATCTCCATTATTTATCACTCATTTATCTTTTCGCATATTTCATTTTATTCCTTATCCTCACTATCGTGCCGCCTCTCGTGATTTGCTTCGTTTATTAATTTATTTTGGCGTCACCGCTCAAGGTCGGTGATTTCCCTCTACTACCGTCTTCACAGCCCCGCGCCACCTTGTTTTGTCTGTTTTCGTTAAACTTTGTATCCACTTGTCTGCCTACCTTAGCCTCACAGCTCAACTAGTCAGTTCTCGCATGCGATTTCTCTCATACATCTAACGTTTTTCAAGTTCTTGTTTGTTTTTATTTCTGTTTACTTTTGTTGCCTGTCTTTCTTTATCTGCGATAAATTCCTACTATTGCTTGACTCCATTTATTTGCCTTCCACTAGTTGCAAAAATACAGAAAAAAAGTTGAGAATTATAATATTTCGTTATATGAGTATTAGTCCAATGGAGATAAAGTAAAAAGTGTCAATAGCACAAATATACACACTTATATGGGCTTTGTGCCTGGCGCTCATTAATCAAATAAGACAATATTCATTTCAAATGCCTTTGCTATTTAGAGGTTTCAAATATTCAATGAGCATCTAGCGTAGATATTGATTTGAATTGAATAAATAATGCGCTGCGAAGCATATTTATAAATAAAAACATATATACACATACTAATATTTATAAATAAATAAACAAATGTAAAATGTGAAAAAAATTCAAAAATTCACATTGAAATGTCGTTCATCTTCTTCAATCAATTTATGCAAATCACAGCCTTTCACGTTGATTATAAATAAATTACTTTTGTTAATTCCATGAACGGCTATAATTACGTATATATGTAGTATCTGTATAATTATCTCCAAATGGGTGTCTTCACTGAAGTTATGCATATAAATTAACTTTCATCGTGAGTCATGACCAAAAAAAAAATTCGGGTCTTATACATATATGCATGTATTCGGATAAACTTATTTTCAGGTGATACTTTGGTGTCTTCAGTTTATTTATTTTTCTCAGCTTATATTTACGGATAAGCGTGGATAAATTGTTTCCAGCTTCTTTTCGAACAGCTGATAATTTAATGTAACCAGCTTACTTATTTAACTTAGGTTATGTATTCGGATAAGTGCGGATAAATTTTATCCAGCTTTTTTTCGAACAGGTGATACTTAGATGTACTCACCTTACATATTTAGTTCTAGTTAAGTATTCGGATAAGCGCGAATAAATTGTTTCCAGCTTCATTTCGAACAGGTGATATTTAGGTGTACTCAGCTTAAATATTTTGCTCAGGTTATGTATTCGGATAATAGTATCCAGCTTCTTTTCGAATAGGTGATAATTAGGTGTACTCAGCTTAAGTGAATAGAAAATAGTACAAACAAAAATTATATGATAGTTTATAATCGCAATAGCAATCATGAAACCCGCGTATAGTTTTAAGTACATAAATGTAACTAGACTTAAATTTCGAGTATATTTACATGTGGATAATTTGCTTTCGATATTGATCAGTAAAACAATCCTTATTCGTAATTTTTAAACACTTAAGAGGCTTTACACTAACGCGGATAATGTCAAACTTAAGTGGATAATGTGTTTATTGCTTTATTTTTTGGTAATCTGTTTGAGATATTTCTATACAAATGTGAGCAAGTCTTTTATCAGGTTTCTTTAATTGTCTTAAACATGATTACTATCATTTATCGTGATAAGTGAAATATATTTACATATAATTTTTATAGACAAAGTTTACTCGAATTAATTAAATAAGCATTCCCTTGTTATGATCAATAACGATTCTATGAATATTCTGAGTTAAATATTTTACTATATTATAAACTTATTTTTATAAGAAGGCAAATAATAGTTTATGTATTTTATCAGACTATTAGTCATACAAATGCATTATCCGTTATCCAATAATACTTTTCTACATTGCTCAATGATACAAAGTTCCATTCTACTCATGTAATTTTAACATGCGGAAATTTTGTATTTCTTGACATTTTAAATATCCAGATAAAAATTATTTAAATTTTAATTAGCTTGTTATTATAAATTTCAATTTTATTTGTTAGTTCTGTATATCCGGATAAAAAATTACTGATTTTGACAAACAAGTACTAAAAAAAATTTCTATGTAAATTAATTTTGTTCTCAACACTGTCACCAAACAAGCTCCCATAGATTTATAAACATAATATTTATAACTTGGAGCATAAGCTTCCTCTCGGATAATTGTGGATAATAATTTTTGGAGTCAAAAGTCATAGTTTTGGTTTTAGCTGTTGTTATGTATTATGTATGTGCATTTCGTTTAAGGAATTGTCATGGATAATAACGAATAAGATTTTTTTAAAAGAAATTACGGTCATTTTCAAACTCGTTTTCTCAGCTTTAAGTTTCGAGAAAATTTTACTTACTTTTGTACTTACATATATTATTACTTAAATATTTCTCATCTTTCTTTTCTTTCTCCTTTTAGGGCTCTATCGAAGAATGGCTACAACTGTTACGTCTCGAGGAATACATTCAACCATTACTTGATCAAAACTATAAAACTGTACGCGACGTCACGCAAGTCACTTGGGAAGACTTGGAGGATATTGGTATTGTTAAATTGGGACATCAAAAGAAGATTCTCTTAGCCATAAAGCGTGTAAAGGATATCATAAGCGGAAAATGGAATCCAGGCGGCATTAATGCTTACCAACAGCAGGTGAGGGTGTGGAAAAGGCGATATTTTAAAGAAATCTAAAGTTTTTAATTTATTGAAAATACAAATTTAATTAAACAACACTATATTATTATTTCATTTTTTAAATTAAAATTTTAATTCAAAATAATTTTTTAAATTTTTTTTTTAATATTTAATATTTTTATTGTATTGTTTATAATAATTTATATAAAAATCAAATTCTAATAATTTATCTTTCTTATGTTTGTGCTATTATGTTTTCTCTCTTTTTCGGTTCGTTTTATTTTATTCAATTTATGATCTTCTGTTGCTGCCTATGATTTGAACCCCGTCATCAACCCAACCAAAAACCAAAACGAAAACGTTGAACTTGTAAAACAAAAGGATTATCGCAACAAGATTTGGCCCAGTGGCGTGCCAATGCCCACCACACCGACCTATTTGCCAACCACGCGCGTCTCGTGGGACGATTCCAAGATTTATGCTACGCCCGGCGTCGATGCCGTCTATTTTTGCAGCGGCGCTCATCACGAGTGCTGCAATGGCAACGATGTAGTGCCCATTAAGGTGAGCGTGTGCACAGATACGCGACCAGCTAGCAGCGCTGCGTCGGCGGTGATTAATGGCGAAACTACAATGTTATTTTGTTTTAAATTTATTCTTATATTAGTATTTTTTTATACTCATACTTTTCGATTATATTTATTGAACTTTCCGCAATCGAACCGCATTCTGCATAATAATACTTTTATAACTAACATAATTTGTTTTCTCCCACCTCTCCTGGACTCCCACGCGCTCTCTTCCACTTAGGTGCGTCAGCCACGCGGCAAAAGCTTAGAATCACTCGAGGATATACACGACAACAGCACACGCAGCCACTTGACCTTTAGCCATTACACGGCCACTGATTATGGCCACTTTGCGCATCCAACGCCTGCTATGCAACAACAACATCATCAACAAGCCTTGCAACACCAGCAGCAACAGCATCAACAAGCCATGCAACAGCATCATCAAGCAGCCATGATGGGCGGCGCTGTTGTGGGCGGACCTGGTGGTGCTGGCGGTGCACGTTTGCTTAGCAATCAGGCAGCTATGGTAAGTATTTTAGTTTGTTAGAGGTGTGGGCGTAGAATTATAGCTAGGAAAAGTGCGAGCTAATCTCATTGAAATTATTAGAAATGTAGAAATGTAGTAGCTTGCAGACCTGTATAAAAATTGTATTTTAAATAAACAATATTTTTTAATATTGACAAGATATCTTCCCGCAATTTTCTAAGTATTATTATTTAAAGTAGCGGTACAATCTCCGAAAAAACTGTTTAGATCCTTGTAAGGCATCGTTTGGATTTGTAAAGAATATTATTATCGTTTGGATTTGTAACGAATATTATAACTTCGGTGCAAACGCAGATAACGCTTTTCGTGTTTTCGTGTGAGCTTTTCTCTCCCGAATACTTTATTAAAATTATAATTATAAAAAATATAAAAGTTGTGTTTTCAGTTGAAGTGTATTAAGGTTTGAATCTTTTTTAATTCGGATAAAATCTTTTATGCTCGGATAATTTTTGGATAAAATCTTTTGTCCTCGGATAATCTGCAGTTTGTTTTTTTTTCTGTTATATTGACATTTTTTGCACAGAATTTGCTTGTACTCTGTGATATCGTTCACCGGATATTACTGGATAACATTATTACTTTTGTTATTTTTAGCATATTATAATTTATAAAATTAAACGGATACCTATATACAAGGGTACTAACAAATTAGCTTAAAAAGTCGCCTTAATTGCTTTCAGTTCTTTTTATTATTTTATAAACATTTTCTTTTATTGATATTCGGATAATTGGTTGTGTATAACTTTGTGCTGTAAATGCTCTCGAGCTTCATTTTTTCATATTTTATTAACGTTAATTGGATAATTGTTTATGTATAACTTTTTGCTTTAATTGTTCTCGAGCTTCATTTTTTTAATTAACATTTATTATATTCTAACTCTGAGCAGTTTTTTTTTCATCGCATAGTAGCATTATACTGTAATGCGTAATATTTACTATGCTAAGTAAGCCCGGATAAAAGTTGAAACAAGGAAACACTATTATCACCAATTTATTTAATTATTTCAACAAATTATATTGTGCAATTTTTATATATCTTTCATATTTTTCATTACAGTCTTGGCGGCGTTCCTACGATGATGGTGACATTACGCCCACCAACGACGCGGCACGCGAACTCATGTACGAGGAAGGCGGCGGTACACTGCCACGTCAGCAGCGGGGTATTTTGCAGCGCGCAGTATTAAACAGCATGCCACCACTCGAGCATCACTATATGAACGCAGCTGCCGCAGCGGAATACGTTTGCCATGCAGGTGGATTGGGTGGCGTTGGCGTACCAGGTGCGGCTGCGCATGTGGGCGCAACAGGCCCAGCCGGTTGTGTGCTGGACAGCGCCGGTCTGAATGCCGTAAGTCAAATCGCCGCAGGAAAATCATATCAAAATATTTAACTAATTTATGTAATTTTCATTCCACCATTTTCATACACGTGTGCCAACCAACAGTCCTACTTGACCGGCAGTCCAATGAGTAATAAGAAAATCGCACCGGAACCACCGCGACGTCATTGTAGTATACGAAATTCACGTACTCTGAGTGCGGATGGCGCGCAACAACAGCAACAACAACAACAGCTGGGATTGCATGTCGGCGCAGCAGTTACGCCTGGCCTCTACTATGGCGGCGCCGGCGCCTTACATCATGGTGGCATGTATATGACGCATGCGCAGCAACAAGCAGCAGCAGCGGCGGCAGCTGCTAATCAGCCGATCTATGCGAATTACGCAACCATACAACAGACCACGGCGGAAATACACTGCGAGAAATTCCATGACAATAAGGTTAGTGTGCGCACCTGTGAGATTTGCTATTCATTTGAGCTTTTTTTTTTAAATAATTTCTGTTTTGTATTTGTTGCAACCCACAGTCAAATTCCAGCATCGATTCCATTGACACCATACCGTTCGCCAACGAGAACACTGGCACCATCAAACAGCGCCTACTTAATCGCCAAGACATTGGTGGGCCACAGCAGCCGCTACAATCGGGCAACACTCCACATCTGCACTCCTCCTCGTCGTCGTCCTCGTCTTCGTCGACCAACACCATCGCCAATATAGCGCACTCTTTCCACTCGCTGAAGACATCTGCCTCGTTGCATGACGCTTCGCTGATACGCAGCGACAGCATCGGCAGCACCACAAGTGGCGGCAGCGCTGGCGCCAGTACAGGCGGTGGTGGCAGCAATAGCTTATTGCTACTACGTTCTCCCACCCTACAATATCCACCGACCGATGTAACGAATGCCAGCAGCGGCGGCGGCTCATCAACGACTATCACCACTACCGTGGACTTGCATACACCCAGCGGCGCTGAGGCTAATGCGGATGCAGCTGGCGATTGTGCGCCCTTAATCGGCAGCGAGAGTGCCGATATATCAAGTGGCAACGCTGGCTCCAGCTCAGCCACAATTCAAACACCGGGTCAAAAGGTGTCTGTCAATGTGCTCAATGACATTGGTAATATGTTGGCCAATTTGACGGACGAACTCGATGCCATGCTGGAGGAGGAGAAGCGCATTGGCCTAAATATTGATAGTGAATAAGCACATATTGGGGAGCATACTGCTCAAGGGCGTACATAGAGGTACATAGTTAATACATATATGCGCATGTGTATGTTTTGCAAGTTGGGAATTTATACATTGATGGATCTTACATAAAATGTTAGTGAAATATGCGCGTGCGCACGCTTAAGCTTCACGGCAAAAGACATTTCATTCATAAATTTCGCTTCTGTTCCTTTCGGCCTCTAGCGCTTTATGTAAAGAAATTTATTAGAAATTATGAAAGTTCAACTGTATATACATACATATTTTGAGTTTTAAAATCAATCACTGGAATAATTCAATAGTATCGGATAACGTTGGATAATTTTATTAAATGTTCTAACAAATAGTAAATGATTGAATATACTTTTTTGTGTAGTTTAGTTGCGCGGATAATAAAATACACTACGGATATCGCCGGATAACTATTTTTAACACTGAGAACTAATTAAAATTTAGTGTTATGCATATAAATTCAGCCGGATAAACGTTTTCCGGCCTTGTGTCTATATTTTAAAGTTTAAAGCGTGCCTAATATTTTTAAAATATATCAAGTGGTTTAATTTGTTTATTACATCGTGGACTTAATTTTAAAATTTAAATCAGTGTCGGATAAGGTCGAAACATTTTGGTATGCATGCAAAAAAAATCGAATATATATAATTTATTTACTCGGATAATGAAAAAAGCTACGGATAACGCCGGATAACTAATTTAGTCATTGAGAAACACTTAAAATTACATTTATGTATATAAGTTCAGATGAATAAGCGTTCTTCGGCCTTTTATGCATATTTTTAAGTTTAAATCGTGTCTAATATTTTTAAAATATATTGTAAACTACTTTCCCACCATTGTTTATTACATAATTGACTTTTTTTCTGAATTTTAAAAGAATCATTGAAAAAATATAATTTACATAAAATGGTTGAATATATTTATTATAGTAATTTAGTTGCGCGAATAACAAAACAAGCCACGAATAACTTCTTTAACGACCTAGAAATAATTAAAATTTATTTTTATGCATGTAAATTCAGCCGAATAAGCGTTTTTCGGCCTTGTAGGCATATTTTGAAATTTAAAGCGCGCCTAATGTTTTTTAAAATATATCAAGTGGTTAAATTGACTATATTATAAATTTTGAAAAACAGTCATTGAAATCAAACGTCGGATAATTTTGTTATGCGTGAAAAATATTTATATAGTAATTTGTTGAATGTACTTTTTGAGTTGCGCGGATAATGAAATAAGCTACGGATAACGCCGGATAACTATTTGAGCGACTTAGAAATTATTAAAATTTACTTTATGTGCATATTTTGAGTTTCAAACGTTTGTCAGCAATGAATGTCTTTGCTTTGAAGCTCTTCCGCACATACGCGCACATGTAGTTTAGTTGCGTCTAACACTTGAGTGTCTTAGTTGTTAGTTTTGTTTAAATATTATAACTATAGTGTTTAGTATCTATCATTTCCTCATAAAGGAAGTTATATACATATGTATGTATATGAGTAATTGTTGTATATACGCACATGATACGCGTAAATATAATACTTTTTATACGCATTTTATATTTTACGTGCATAAGTATTTATAGCAGTGTATTGTGTATTTGTATAAATTTCTCTTGTTTTGTAGTTAAAGAAAGAAAGTAAAATTGTAACTTAGCAGTTGTAAAGCTCGCTAAAATTTTTGTTTTTATGGAAACTGCTGTTTTAGCGGCGCTTACTGACAGCTAAGAAGAAGAAAATATTTAAACATTGAAGAAGTACTAGAATAATAATTTTTTTTTTTTTTTAATTATAATATAAATTTTGCTTTAATAAATATTTGGTTTTAAGACTTCACATTGCTTTAAAATGTGTCACAAATGATTGCAAACAGTTCTAAAAAAATATCTTTTGAACAAAAATATTAAATATAAAAAAATTGCTTGAAAATAAGCAACAGTTGTAGAGAAATGATCTTTTTTTTTAACAAATATGCTTTTTTTAATAAAAAACTAAATATAAAAAAATATTTTTGTTAAAATATAAATGCGAAACATTTTTCAACAATAATTTTAATTGAAAAAGGTTTTTTTAAAAAAATATTTTTTTTTTATTTAATATTTTTTTATATAATACAATATAAATATTTTTTTTTTTATTTAATATTTTTTTATATAATACAATATAAATATTTTTTTTTTTATTTAATATTTTTTTATATAATACAATATAAATATTTTTTTTTTTATTTAATATTTTTTTATAACTTTTGGCAATCGTTTGTTATTTTTTTTTAATATTTTTAATTTGTTGAAATTGTTTTGTTTTATTTTTAATATTTTTATCTTAAAAATATTTTTTTGCAACTTTTGGCAATCGTTTTTGATTTTTTTGAACAAAAATAAACATTCCATATACAGTAAATGGAATAAAAACCATGTAATTATGAGGAAAATATTGTCTAAAATTATAAAAATTATGTTACAAAACATTCCATTTTAAAAATTCCAGTAATTTAAAATCCGCAGTAAACGCCGTAAACAGCAGTTTAAAAATTAATAAATTTTGTTAAAACTTAAAAAAGTATTTCACCTTAAATACCTATGAGTCTACAATTTACAAAAAAACAACAACAAAATATAACAAAAGCAAAAACAAATATAGAAAAGGTTACGAACAGGCAACAACTAAAACAACCAACAACATCATACTTAGCATTAAAACAACATAAAAATCAATATAAACTAAAAGTTGTAAAAGCTTTTAAAACAAAAAGTATACTTTTGTACTATTTAAATACACTTAATATAAAGAAATATATACATATACATATATATTAAACTAAATTAAATTAAATTTAATATTAAATTAAATAAGTGTTAACATTATATAGTGGAAATGTAGCGAAAGGTGCATAAACTTTAATTTAAGCCGGAACAAACATTATAAATACAGCAAGCATGACTTAATCCTTAAATTCAGAGATTCAAATGTTTCTGGATTGATAAAAAAAATTGCTGACATTAATTTGTCAAAACAAAAAGTGCGATTTTCTCAACAAAAAATATGAAAAAAATGTCAAAGACATGCAACTACTATATGTATTGAGAAAAGACAGTATAGCTTTATATTTCTCAATTGCCAGACGTAAACACATACACACACTCCGAATTGAAACCTTATTCATAACATCTAAAAGCCGTATCAGTAAATTCTATGCGTTAAGCAAACTTTAATTCTAATAGCATAATCTAAAGTTAAATAAAAATTATAAAAGCAAAAAAATCCACTTGCATTAAACTTGATATAAAAACATTTATATATACATACTTGTATGCGTACTACATTTAAAATAGAATAAACAGCAAAAAATACAAAACAACAAAAGCACAGCAACAAATCATAACAAGAAATGTTAGAAACAACTTAAATGGTGCAGTGAGTTGAAAATATCAAACCGCAACTAACAGTAAAGAGTAAATTAATTTAATAAAAAATATAAAATAGGCGTTTATAGAATTAAAAAATAAATAATAGTAAGAAAAAGGCGAGTGCAGTGGAGCGCATTTGAGCGTGAGGTGGCCAGGCATATATCAGTTTATTTAGTTAAGAAATTTTATAATTTTATTAGTGTTATTTTAAACAGCAATACCATGCCTTATTGTAAACTTTAAATATTAAACATTCCATTTTCGTCATAAACCTAATTGTGTGCTTCAAAACGTACCATTTACAAAAATAAAAAAATAAAAATCATTTTCATGCGTTAAGTTACTTGTCAGCTTTTGCAACACAAAATTTTATTTCGTGCATTCGCGATATAAGTTCTATTTTATTACTTTTACTTCCTTTTTTAAGCATACTGCATATTTTTGCAATGCAACGTTGTGTATCTACAGATAATCGCATAATATTGTAATAACGAAGTGGTTTATTGTAATTAGTTTTTAATTATTATAATTTAATGATGAATGGGCAACCAAGCCAACTTGAAATCAAAATGTATGTAAGTGTTATTTCCATATAAATAAATTTATATACAAGTAAAAATATTATAGCAAAAAAATAAAATAAATGAATAAATATAAAACAAACGGACAACAACAAAAAAATATATAAAACACAAAATATCAAAAAATGCGTTTTTATTTAAGATTATTATAAAATCGATAATATCTCCTTCTTTATTGGCGTAAACACCGCTTACGCGGTTATAGCCGAGTTGCAACACCGCGCCTCCATTTCCTTTTCCTTCCTTTTCGCTCTTTGGCATCAATTGAAGATTATAAGTGTAGCCAAGTCTTTCTCCACCTGGTCTTTCTAACTGAGTGGAGGCCTTTCTTTTCCTCTGCTTCCCCCTCGCGGGTACTGCATCGAATACTGTCACAACCCAGGGGAGGGGATGTTACGCCTTCTCGCTTTAGCTCTCCTTCAAACAATAGGGCAAGTGGACCAAATGTGAGTAGGTCCACTCATTTCTACAAGGTTTACCTGTAAAGATTTCAAATATAATTGCTATCTGGCTATTTAATTATATAACAATTACTCAAATATTGCCATAATTTTGTGGAAGAACATTTTTGCATTTAAATAATACAAAACTTTCTCAAAATGTATGTCATATTGTAAAAATCGTTAAATTTCAAGCTTTGAAGGATGTTCCGATTCTAACCAAAATATATCATTGAAAATAGTTATCGATTAGCATTAAATGGAAGGCAACACACAAATAAATGATGCCACTTTATATATTCTATAGTACAAATAAATTTTTAATGCAGAAAAATAAATTTTGATTGAATATGATCCCATAGATTTTATGACATCGCTTTTAATTTTATACTTTCTTTTTTTCATGCTTCCAAAATTAAACTTTTAGATATTACTTATATACTAATTTTTAAAGAATCGATTATCGATTATTTCCAGCAACTCAACGTTGTCTTCTTTACGCACTGTCATTCGCTTTGTTATTGGCTGTTTTGTTTCATCCACTATTCTTCACATTGCTGCGCCGCTGCGCTGTTAAAATGTCACCGTTGTCATTTTCCTAGAATCATTGTGGCGCGGCAGACGGTCATCTTTGACAAACGGCTGATTGGCGTTGTTGTGAGCCCCAAAGCTTAATTTTGCAAAAAATAATACAAAAAAGTTTGATCCCAACAAACCCGATAGCAAAGCGCAGCGCCAGTCAGTGGTTATCAACAACGATTCGTGAAACAACAATAGCAAAAGAGCATAGAAAAATTGTATAAAAATAAAAAAAACGAGTGGAAAGTCAAATGCAAAACAAGATTGCACGCTCCGTGTTTGTTGTGGCGACAATCGAGTGAAATTCATACAAAAATAATCGTGGTTTAAAGTACAAAATTCATTATTTATTAGCTTGGAAATTAAGAGTGCAGTGTAGAGCAAAGTTTCGCGAAAAATTATATAAGTATTTGTGTATACAAAGTGTTTGGTTTTGGAAATTGCATGAACGCTTTTGTGGCTGTAGAATTAGACGTCACACAGGGAGTAGCTGTAATCTCCATATTGAATATTTCTAAAATTATATGGTAGTGCTTTATAAATGAGTACATCCAGCATAAGGAGAAGCACATTTTGAAAAGTCGAATCGATTATTCATAAATTGGGTTACAGCTTGAGGAATAGTTTGCATTTCCCCATTGTGTACAAACTGTAATTTGAAAGCGTATAAGTATTCTTTGAGCGCATTTTACTTGGAAAAACAGCAACTTACTACATCAATGCATATCAGATTGGGCTGAGTACCGCACAGCTTTCTTCACGTTAACTTACATCTTGCCAAAAAGTTTTCGTACATAATTCCAAGTCCTTTGATTTCCAACATCAATTCTGTGTAAAGAAACTAGGCAGGATTGGCAAGTGACAGGCAGTTTACTTATCCAAAACAGAAAGTGCAAGTGAAATTCGCAAAGAAAAAATGGCTGCAGCGGCAGAGTCCACCGAACTGGATCCACGTATAAAGGTAAGTTTGTTTGTGATCTATACATACAGGCATAGAGAAATGTGTTTGGTTGATAGGTTGATAATTTTATTGATAGGTCAGGGTTAGTATTTTAAAAACGTCTGCAATATACATTAGTAATGTTAAATCTGTTTCGAATTTTTGTCCATAATCTCTTTACCAAGTTTAGTTATTTCGGAATCGTTATAAACATTCTCACCAACAAAACTGATTCATAAAGAAAATTTAAAATGTTTGCCTTAATTGTAGGGGAAAAGCCTT